TTTGTGTGTGTGTGTGTGTGTGTGTGTGTACTTTAAAAAACGGGGATGAAAAAGGCTGCTGACGGCGGCGCAACTCAGCAGTCAAGACAGTAAATAATCAGCTGAGAAGCAGCACGCTAATGACTCAAACGCGCACGCGCACTCGAGTCATTTCTACTCTTTCAAGACATTCTTCAACTTGCTGAGCCCCCCACACACACACACACACACGGTCCAACTCGATGCACAATTTTAGCTTCCTTCCTTCTTCCTTTTATATCATCCTTGTTTGCCTTCCTCCATCCTTCCTTCCTTCCTCCTTTCCTTCCCCGTTTCCATTTGAGCTTCCTCCCTGCCCCTCACAACATCCACACCCCTTCCCTCCTTTCTTTCTTCCCGCCCTCGTTTCCTTTCCTCATCCTTCCTCCCTTTTCCTCCTTCCTTCCATACCACCCTTCCCCGCTTCCTTTGACAGGTGGTGGTTTCCTTCCCCCCTTTCTTCCTTCCTTCCTTCCTTGCTCCATCACGAACATCCTTGTTCACTTATTTGCTTCCATCTGTCCTCGCCTTTGTTCTTTGCAACCACCCTTCCTTCTATTCATCTTTCCTCCCTTTTCTACCTCCTCTTCCCTACTTTTATCTTCTAGTTTCCTCGCTCCCTTCTTTTTCTTTCCTTCCTTCATCCTCCCTTATTTTAATATCCGCTTACCTCCTCGAATTCTTTGATCATCCTTGTCTTCCTTCCATCCTTCGTGCATTTCTCACCATCCTTCCTCCCTTCTTTCCTTCATTCTTCCTCTCAAACATCCTTTCATTTCTTTTTACACCCTTCCTTCCTCCCTTCAGCATCCTTGTTTCCTTCCTTGCATCCTCCTTTCCTTTCATACAGTGTCGTTTCCTCCCATCCTCCATCCCCACCTTCCTCTTCGTTGCCTTCTGTCCTTTCATAGCCAACCATGGCATCTTTCTTCCATCCTTTCTTCTGACATCCATCCTTGTATCCTTTCTCACGCTCCTTCCTTCATCCTCCCTTCCTGGCTTCCTCATTTCTTTGCTGCCGTTCAAACCATCCCTGTTTCTCACCTTCCTTAGTTTCACGAGGGTACAGTATAGCAACTTAAGGAACACCCTGTCCAGCAGGGGATCAGAAACGTGTGGCATATCTGGTGTGTGTGTGTGTGTGTGTTGGAGAGGGCAGTGGCGATCCATCAGCGGCCCCACTGCCACGCCGAGGTCAAAACCATCAACCTCAGCTGAGGCCGCCAGAACCACACTCACATACGCTTAAGAGCGAAACACTTGAGCCAAAAGCAGTCAAACACACACACACACACGGGCGCGTGTACGCACACGCACACGCACACAAACACACGCACACACACACACACACACACACACACACACACACACACACACAC